GTTATTGTTTGTTCTTCTTTAGATACTCTTCCTTTTGTGCTGAAATGGAGGTACATCTGAATGCTTATTGATTGTTTAAATATTAAAATATACTGTAATTATTCCTTATTTTATTTGCCTGCATTTCCGTTATAAAACTAAAAACTGGTTAACAGATTTTTCTTTCGGGTTTTCATTAACAACATGCCCTCCAAATTCACATCAGTTTTGACATCTGTATTCATTTTTGATATCGCTTTTACGAGTTTTTCTTGGATGAGCTTGAGCTTTAGCTGAATAGAACAGCGTTTTCACAATCTGAGGAACGAATAGAGTACAGTTGCTGTCGGGATGCTTGTCTCCGATAATTTTTAAGTTTTTCGTCATTTTGTAATATAAGTATCCCCTCTCCGAAATCCGTAGCATTATATTAATTTGCTTATCGTTCCTGAGTTTTTTTAAAAATATATTTGGATGATATGATTAACAGCTGTAACACTAACACCCTTCCCGTCCCTCTTTCCCCTAATCTTCCATCGGCAGTTGTATCTTCTGATACCCGGCCAGTCAGAAGAAAGCTTCCCTCCGTCCCTAATGAGGGCCGGTTTGGTCATTGATCATTTTGTCTGCAAGGTCAAAAGGGAGAACCCCAAACGCATCCTATTTTCATTCTTGCATTTTATCATGGAAACAACCGATTAACTCCTAATTTTCATCCCATCTTTCTTCCCCTTCAACCTATATAAGCTCTATAAAATTGTCTTCCTGTCCTGGTGATGTTGTCCAGCAGCGAAACTTGGATCATTTCAATTCGTGAAATAACACTTTCTTTTTCTTGTGATTTGTAAAGAGCTGCTACGCCGCTTTGTGGAACAACCATAATCTATTCTCACAGCAGGCAGTTCTTTGGGATAGAAAGTCACTGTTTAAAGCCAGGAATATTTTTGTTCAAAGGAACCAGATTTATTATTTTGTGTGTTCAAGTGGAGAATTTGGGTGATAAAACATTAAATGGTTTTAATAGTTATATTTCGAAATTTTGCGACTCGTTATGAGTTTCTTAATCGATTTCCTGCATTTTTTCTTAGTTCTCTTCAACTACACTATATCATGTGTGACCAAATCCGGAGAATCCGGAACAATGTTTGTCCCAAGCATTTTGGATCAAGGATACTCAACCTGTACTTTTTTGACAGTGCTATTGGTGAGGTTACATAAGGCGGTTTATTTGTTGCAACTTTAGCACAAGAATAGCACTTTGCAAGAGGACATAAATAACAGGAAAGTATAATTGTTAGACGAGAAAATAGCAGGGGAAAAATGGTAAAATATCAACTCCGGGTTTCCAAAGTTAACCGAATCCCAACTGCTCAAATAGGGTAAGTTTAAAAACATGATTTACAGAGGCCGAAGCAAGAAACACTTAAATCCGAAATGTAGTTTATGGAGAATGTAATTGTTCCAAGGTGTTTGTTTTAGACAAGGTTGCTTTTTAACCCTGTCTCTTTTAGTGCCGGATTTGTAAGTTTTTATGTATGGAGGATAGTTTTTCTTCCCGGTTTTTCTTACGGATGAAAATTTTCCAAATTCATTCAATAAATTGTTTTTTTCTCGAAATTTGAAGTACAATTGTTTTTTTATTAATTACCATCTTCCGTTGGTTTCTTAACATATTTTTTGCTTTTTATGGAGACGCGTTTAGGTTTTCTGTATCGAAGAGTTTCCTCGATGACCGTTCCGGACGGCAATACCCTGAATTCGCAGACGCCGCAATGGACTCCGCCAAAAAACTGCCTTCAGAAGTCGAATCCGTTCCAACTGATGAACAGTCTGACTCGCAAGCTGGAAAATTTTGTCCCGAATAGAGGAAATCAGGTAAAGATCTGCTCGCAGAGAAGTTCTCACAATCTTTGCTTTATTATCCGGCATTTATTAGACTTGATTCAGATTCAGATATTAATAACTAAGACGAACTATCGAGCAGGGCAAGTTCTTCAGCAGAATTCATACTGATGGGTGGCAGTCAATGAAGGGTTGTATTAAGTAATACACGAATTACAACTTGAATATCACATGGTACCTACAGCTAAATGGTAATGCATGATCGCTCATTTTTGTTGTCAAGGTTGTTAATTAATGACTTCAAAAACCAGGAGTGAAATTGCAAAGGTGGAGGGTTGTCTGCTCTTTATATCCCAACGTTCAAGTAACTCAGTTCCATCATGCATAGCAGTAGTTTATCATGAATTAGGAAGCAGACAAAAATGCCGTGGTTCAGACCTGTGGGTGAGTTGCATACTATATGCTATTGTCTGCAGAATAGACGTAGTACCTGCACTGCTGTATAGAGCTGAAAGTTGTACCATATTAAAGAAACACGAGCAACACTGGAATCGTACGCCGCTTTACTGGCCAAGGTAACAGTAACTTTTAATTTTTTCTCTAGACCTTATACTATTCGTTATTTGGGCTTTTCTCATTACATCTAATTGCGTGCATTTTGTCTTTAACCAACTGATTTTTGAATGAGAATCGTATTTGAAAGAAGGATTCTTTTTGGACAGTTTATTCAGTAATCCCCATATTTCTTATGGGGTAACTTTGCATGATACCTACTCCGTAGCTTGAATATACAAGATACCTTGCAGCTGCGGTAAATCATGACGCGAAGCAAGATTAACGTCACAAATAAATGCTCTTGCTGAAGAAAAAGCTTGTCCTTCTCAAAATAGTGCAGTATAATGATATCGAGATTCTTTCCGGGACGAAGTTCTTTATTTCAGTTTATAAATCACTGCTGACCATCGACCAACAATACTTTATTTCCAAAGTTTGCAGCTCAACTACTACAGTTTATATTCTGTTGTTTCCTTCTTGTACTGATACTCATGTAACTGTGGAAACGATTGGAAGTGAGTCCAGAATTGAGCTCTCTTCACTCTAAAGTAAAGGGTCTGATATCTCCCTGAAAATCGAAATCTGCCAACTTCCTGAAGCACAGGAACATGACAAGGCTGCTAGTGAAAAAGGCATTGATTGTCAAATCCAGCAACGGTGTTTACTGGTTCAGAGTGATGAATACTTATTCAGATCGGATGCATCTCTTTGTGTTGACAGTAAGTGAACTACCATATTTTCCCATTGATACCGCGTATCTTGTACTTCTTTGTGCCAGCTAAAATGGATAGAGAACGCGCACCTAGTAGATTCCGTGCACCTTGTAATATTTAATACCCATGAAAATGTATAGATAGCGTATAGTCTATTTCTTGTCTGAAAAAAGGCAGTTTTCTGACAAATAAATGATGAAATGTGATTGGCTGTGGTTGTATCTGAATCAAACGAACCGAAGAATTAACAAGAGTCAGCATATTGTTTCTGGTCTTTGAACACGTGTGTTTTGCAATTGTTAAGTTTTTAAAATTGAAAGTTGCTCTGGAGAAAATTACTCATGGAGAAAAAAAATACAGTGCGGAGAAAGACTTATACAACGATGTTTAAGCTGGAAGCCGTTAATTTCACGCAATAAAAAGGGAATCATGAGGCAGCCAGAAAATTAAACGTTTGAGAGTCTAGTTTACGGAAATGGAGGAAAGAAGCAGTCCGAAAATGTTTGCACCTGAAAAAACATGCAGTGAGGTACAGGAGGTGCCTCTGGCCAGAGCTGGAGAAAACACCTATCGAGTAGGTTCTTTTAGAGAGATCGAAAGGACATAAGGTGTCACCATTTCGGAAAACGAACTGAGTGGTGTACCTGAAGAAATTGTAAATGTTCTTGGTTCATTTTATATTGATTCAGATGAAGAGTTTATAGTTTTGGACGACTTTATTGTAATACGTGTGTACAGTAAATATTATTTTACGTGTCGTATTGTTTT